TTCCGAGCCTTCTGAGAAGGCCGCATCTTCTCACTTCCTCCCCTCGCTCGCCGCCAAGTCAACGTCTCCAGTTGTTTTCTGGCCTCCCACCATGCAGAGCGGAGCGACACGCTAACCATTTGCGAGGCACAGCGTGTCGCCAGGGCCGCCGCGCGGCACGCTACGCAAAAGTTCCCGACCGTAAGCCTGGAGGAGGCCATTCGGAAGCACTCCTGCCGGTCGAGGATGCGCGCCTCCCCACCGCATATCTCGAGTTTGGCCCCAGATTTTTTGGCCAGTCGGAACTCCCACGAAGGCGGGAGTTGGGCCCCTCAAGTCCCCGCCACAGGGTGTCTCCAGGAGTTCTAGGGAGGCCCCCACGGCCTCCAGAGATCCCCTCCAGAGGCCCAGAGGGCCCCGGGGGCCCCAAAATATGGCGACGAAAAGCTGGGGACACCTTGGGCCAGGAGCACCACAAGCAGCCCCTGAATTCTGGCGCTGCCAGCGGCGGCCCCGGGGCCGCAAGGCCTCGCCGAGGCCCGGGCGCCGCGGCGGGGCGCGAGCCCCGCGCGGTGGCGGCCTCCGCGCAGAGCCTGGGCCTCCGGGGCTCCCCGTCGCGGGGGGCGCGCACCTCCGGGAGCACCCCGAGAGGGGAGGAGGTGCCCGAGGCGCCGCACACGTGGCGAGAGGCCGCGCGGCGCCCTCACTGAAAGCCCCCGGCTGCATGAGGTTTTGTTGCCCTCGGAGAGTGCGGCGCATTCGTGGTGCTGCAGATGGGCACTTCACCCACCCACCCACCAGTGCGGCGCGAGTTGGGGGTGGGAGGCGGAGAACAGCGAAGGGGGAGGAGAAAGATACTCAGGGGGATGAGGCACCGATGCCGCTACCGCTCCCTCGTCTTCGCCTTGTTGGGCCTCACGGGAGGCTCTCGTCGCTACAGCTAGATTCGCTTCGAAGTTGTGGTCAGAACGCACCTTGGGAGAGGTCTGCCATTTGAAGGGGAGGAGAAGGAGAAGGGAGGAAGGGGGGCGGAGAGCAACGGAGGAGCGGAGGACAACGAAGGGGGAGGACAGAAAAAGAAAAAGACGAAGGCGAGGATCACGGGACGAGGGAGGGAGGAGGAAGAGGCAGAGGGAGAAGAAGAGGGACAAAGAGGAGGAGGAGTGGAGGAGGAGGGGGAGGATGGATAGGGCGAATGAGGAGAAAAAGGCAAGGAAGGGAACGATGGAATAGAGAAATAAAGGGGGCCATGCTGTGGCTCAGATTTCTGTGACGGTGTGGGTTCGGACATCAATTGTGTATTCTTGATCGTACGGTGCAATTGCGAACACGTTCGTGTAGACGGGTAATCACTTGCAAGATTCATGTTTCGCTTGCTGTGCGAAGTTCAGAGCAGAGTTACATGTAACAATTCCGTTATGTACGTCCGGTTTACGTACTGCTTGCCGTAATAGCGTTGTCGAATTAGCGGATTGGACACACTATTGTGGATGAGGTGGCGCAGGTCGTCGCTTTAATCGGAAAGCACCGACGAGGATGTTGTGGACGAAATTCCGTTGAACATTACGGAACGTATGTTCCACCCACACGGAACGTCTTCGGCATTGCGGTTCGCGGTAATTGCCGGGCCGTACGCACGCAAGGTCACGTATTATGAAGGAAGTTATATTGGCATACGGTTTTTTTTCTGAAGCGGTTGGCATTTAGTTACGCGCGCAGGAGATATGGCAATATCTTATATTTGATAAACGGCGTGTTCATGAACACATCGTTTCACCGTGCATGCCATGCACTGATTCAGGTAGGCGTTTGCTCGGTCAGACCCTCCTGTGGTATCCGGATAAACTCGCTAAATACCGCGACGGGCCATCATTAGAGTCGCAATGGTTCGGATTGTACGAGCTGGTGTTGGTCATGTTGCACTTTGTCTTTACCAAATTTGACGAGTTGCGCTTCTCGGACAACGACATTGATCAGAGGTGTAGGTGTCATTGACCATTCGACACCGGTCTGTACCGTATGTTGGCTGTTTTCTTGAATTGTGAACACTATACACGAACACTTTACATATTCCTATAATTATCGAAAACACCTACGGTGAATCACCGCCGCCCCCTGCCTTTTTGGAAGCGCCTGTGTGGCCGATCGTTGTGGCCAGAGGCCTCCCAAGCTATTGGACCATGTGTTCCCCGAATCGGTTTGGAAAGCGTTCGGGGAACACGGTGGGGGAGGCTGGGCCGACTTGGGGCTTTCTTGGGGTGCTCCAAGGCCGTCTTGGAGGCCATCTTGAGCGTCTTGGAGGCCTCTTGGGACGTTCTGGGGCCATATTGGAGACTCTTGGGCGATCTTTGGGGGCTCTTGGGCCGTCTCCGGCCGTCGGAAGGCCGAAAAAAGCAAATGCCATGATCCTTCATTATCCCAGTGCAACCCTACCTAGGAGTTAGAACCCCTAGGAAAGCAGCATTAGTAGTAACAGTAACGCTAAGCTAAAGCTAAGCTGAAGCTAAGCTAAAGCTAAGCC